GCCGAAACGTCAGCAATTGTGTTCTAATAAATTCTATATTAACAACCTCGTGTCTGCTTATTGATGAAAAACATTGAGTCACCAGAATATTTACACCGTTATTATACATAGGTAGCCAGCCTAATTCGAAATCATTCTATTTTACTACAAAACACTCTTTACTAACCAAACTGACGATAAGAATATAGCACTCTTATCCTCTCCCACGCCTTCCTGAACCACTTCAGCATTTTGCCAATTCACCACTTCATGAACGATGAAAAAGAACGATATTGCTGAAGAAAAACGAACACCAATATTTACGCTTTAGTACGCTGAAGTGTCGATCTGACTTTTCGGTTCCAAACAAATTTGTTTACGGAAAGATGGAGAAGACGGCAGTACATAGTATTTGTCGACGTCAGAGAAGAATGATCAATAAATGTATCCCTACTTCAGAGTCTATGGTTAGGACCAATCACTATAGCGCATACATTGTAGAGCATCTCTAACCACTGCATCTGCAGCGTCCCCAAAATTTTCTACAATCCTCAAGAACAATCCTGGATGATCAGAAATCTCTTCAAATACGCATACAGACTCAACAGTTATTCAACAACATGGCGATATATACAATATTACGGTGTGGAGAAGTAAACACAATGTATAACACGCTAAGCAGATACTATGTGGTAATTTACATAGCGTTTACAACGAGGAAATTCAACCTAAAAATTCACATATGGTTACTTTGAGAACAACAACGGCAAACGCACTTCTTCAGAAACAATGACAATCAAACTGAACAAAGAAATGGTGAAGGTGGTCACAACACCTGGGAAGGAAGTATTGCAGTGAATTACGGAGTGACTACACTTCAAAATAATTAGTGGGTTCCTCACAACGTACGAATAAGTAAAATTGGAACATGAAACATATAAATTTAAGTAGATATTGGAGCTTCTTAGTTCACCAGTTAAGTAAAAAATCAAGGCCAACTGAAGGTATTTCATACTATACAAAATATTGATAAGTAGATCTATAGGAAACTAGTTAGGAGGATAAAACACGCCAGTTTTAGTATGGAAATTGACAACTCTTTTCGCCAACATCCCAAAGTAGCAGAGTGCACGTAATATTTGAACGAGTTAGACCTAGAGCTATTGTTTTTCACCGAATAGCTCCCAAAGGTCTTGTGGAGGGCGGAGAAAAACAGCAACGCATGTTACGTTGTCAATACTGCCACCTGACAACGCAGCACGACAAATATGATCAGATAGGTCGTAGTACTCTAAAAAAATTTCACAAGATATTACACTACTACTTTTCCATCACTCTCAATGCTAAGCACAAGTTCAGCTAATTTAACACCAGGATCACGTGATTCTTCGTAAACTGGAGATTCTTTTTCGATAACCATAACAGTTGAGAAGAACATGCTAGTTAATAGAAAAATGTTACTTTATGTACTTAAGAGTAGATATGGTTCTTTAAAATTGTTATCCAATTTTTGAAGGTGCTTAGAAGTAAAACTTTAAAAATAATTGTGAAAAAAGTTTAAATTTTTGAAACTCCGAACGAAATCCCAACAACCAATAATATCCACAACGCATTTGGGGATATCACAGTGCACTAATGTGCATAGTATCTCTTGTTCAATTCAGATGCATATATTTTCGAAACAGGCTCTTCGATGAAAAACTGCGACACGAGCATGATTACAGAGCTCTATGAAATGATCCCATCCTAGCAGAACAAGAGATCTTGTACCTAATTTACAACAATCTGCAATGTAAATTCTAATGGCTGCTATTTCCATACTCCCAACGATTTAACGCTTCATCATAGCCGGGAGGTGTTCCTGGGTGTCAAACTGCGATGTACAGCAAGGGGATTTCCTCTTCCCCCCCTTCCCCCTCGGGTAGAGTCCCCCAAGCTGAGGAAGCCGGCGTTTCTATCAGGAAGCCTAATTAAGAGTAAACCAATACAAGGATCGAGCACTGTCTTGGTATGAAACTAGTCGCATAGTGGCCAATCTTCCTGTGATTCACAAAGGCCGGTGAGTGCTTGTAGTGGTGAAGACCTGGGACAGATTTTGGCCAGGCTGATCTCGGAACTCCAGGGAACCACAATGGTTAGGTTAGCAAAACTTCAAAAAAAACGGAAATTATGCTGGACCCAGACAGCCAGTGAAGACGGGCCATACAAGTATCCAGGTAAGCTATTTTGATAAATAAAGTTCACTTCGGATTGAGGCATGTCGCCTTGAAGTTGCAGGCGCCGTTATTCCGGCATGGTGTGAGTGGAAATCGATCAAATCAACATGTCGAACGGCAAATGTTAAACGATATATCACATATCTAATAAGGATGGTATACGAAAGTTCACAAAATTAAGTTAAAGAAAAACATAAATTGATTACTGGTGTTATCATCGCCAATTTTTACAAATCGACTGTAACATGAATACAAGAGAGATTTAACAACAATTTGGCAAAGTACTGTAAAAAAGATTCCAGATTGTGTAAGCCGTATTTCAGCCATAGCCGGTTAGCCGCGAGGCAATGTGGTGCGGCCACGGGTGTAGGATAGAGTGTCAATCGCGGACGAAAGGCGACCACATGCTTCCCTCAGACGCATGTGGACCTAAGGAATGGGCTCCCTGTTTCTGATGCGACGGCATGACACATACCTTCTGCATTTACGAGCATGAATTCATGAATGCGTGCGTAGTTGTGTTCTCGCTACGTGGACTGTCTTACACGAGTCAATTCGGCCAAAACCCTGCAAACAACTGACAGGGAAATATATGGGAAGCGGTTAGGAGACGACTCCAACAAACTCCCTGTCTACTCTGGAACAAATTAGCGAACTACCCGTGACTACAGGTAACCTCCATGTTTTGAGCTAGAGCTATGCAAGCACTATACATTAAACACTAAACACAGCAAAAAAGTAGGCCTCATTCCCGTGCTCTCGAAGGAGCCCTCGATATGGCAGCGTTGTCTAGGACGAATACGAAAAGGCCGCTAAAATCTCAGAGCCATTATAGGTTGCCTAAATCGCATAGGATCAAGATGACCATTTGGACCAACAATGCACGCTCACTTGTGTCTGGGTACTTTATAAAGGAACTGATTATGCAGACTAGAAGAATAAGGTACGACGTCATCGGACTGGCCAAGACGAGAAAGCGTCATCTATTCTATTCCGTCTATAAAACCGGAAAACAATTGTTTCTCGGAACATGAGATAATAAAGGAGTCGGCGACGTCGGTGAAAATCGATGATCAGAAATCGCACAATCTTCACTTTGCTAATAACACCGTTCCTATGATACCAAGCATTAGCCAAGCCGAACGAATGCTTACCGGCTTTGACAACGCTTGTGGAAAGAATGGTCTTCGACTAAATCTCACAAAAACGATGTTCACGGGAAAGGATTGGTTTCGGCATGCTCCATTCACGCTGTACGGAACAAATATTTCGAATGTTCCAGTTATGTCTAGTTAGGCCGGGAAATAAACGTGGTGAATCACTTACCTTAAGAGTTGAACAGAAGGAAACGAGCGGGGCATCGAAAATGCACTGAAGGGTACAAAGAATACCTGACGCAGTTTTCACCCTTTCGTCTCCACGATCCTTCCTGCCTTAATGTATGCGTCAGAAACCTGGTCGCTACGTAAGAAAGATGAAAGATCACTCAGCGTTACTGAAGGCACAGTCGAAAATGCGACGCTAGGAGTTTCCCGTATCACGTAAGTGAAAGAAGGATTCCGAAGCTACGAGTAACATCAACGATCAAAAACCAAAGATACCGCTCTATATGCCAAACAGTCGAAGATAAGGTGGGCATGACACGTAATTCGTATGAATGACAACCGATGGACAAGAGCCGTTAGTGACTGGATTCTTCGGGATGTCAAACGTACTGCAGGAAGACAGACCACCGACCCGATGGTCACAGTTCAACAGAGAGACGCTAGAAGAAAGGTGTGACGCTCTACGAGCTCCTAGAGTGAGCAGAACCCATGGTGCTACTTTTCCACGACGCATGGAAAAATTGAAGATTTACTGGCGCTCGCTCGAGTCATTCCACGATCAATGGGACTACAGGTGATACTGGTGGTATAAACTCCATACTGTTCATACGTGGAAATTTGCCTTTCAATTTCAAATCATCTCATTTCAGCCTTCAATAAATTTTGCTATACGAAATATAAGACATTGAAATTTACAGAGTTTTGCCAATCGAATCTCTTATTTTAGAAATCAACTCGAGCAAGCGAAATGGAGTAGGTGAGATGTATTGCTGATATGGAGCTGAAACATAAATTCATGCGTTATACAGAATAACGTCGTGGGTAAAGTCGATCTAATAATAAGAAAAATATGTCGCCACTGTAAAAGCAACGATGACGTGAAGGGTACTCAGTTTGAGTTTTTGAGCAATCTGACTAAACAAGTGACCCTTCACAAAAACCTATGGAAAACTGATGACCTTTTCAACTACTGATTATTATCTAGATGCCACAATGATGTCGTTTAATTAATACGTTCTCGACTATACCTAATTTTCAGAAACAGTCGGCGTACGGCACCCAAATTCGAAAAGTATGTAATGGTAAATGTAGATATTCACCAGTTAAGCAGTTGTAATCACAACTGGTCACGGGAAAGGAAGGAGCGATAATGATTTCATATAGAATTCAAAGACCTGCACTGCTACAATCAACGAATAAGTGGGAGAGAATCAGGAACATTTCACAGGAAATACCATTCATTCTTAACGGAACACAATGGGATCGTTATCATCTAATCATGATCGCGTGCACCCTGCACCAGTGCCAAGATCGACTCCGCAGCAACGCTAGAATTGAGAAACGAAATAAAAAGAAACAAAGAGAAATAGGGTCACTACCACCACCTCCATTTCCTCGATTATTCCTTACACAGCAAGACTCTAACGACGAAGTCGGTATAAAATTTCGCATATTTTCGAGCGAAACTCTCGAAGCCCTTAACCACTACCGCGCGAAAAAGTCTAGTTCGAACCTTACAGCTGCACAAAAATCTGGTATGCGACAGGTTCGTGAGCTAATAAAATCAAGGAGTATTAGACTATCAGTTAGTGAAAAGGGTGGAGAGTTTGTAGTAATTCCTTGCCACTTAGATGTCGATATAACGGAAAAACATCTTGAAGGCGCATCTCTCTGTCGCGCATCTACTGGAAAGGAATTCAGAAGTTAAATCGAAAACTGAACAACGAATGGGTCAAAATGGCAAGCGCAGCAGGTTTAAAACCAGCAGACATTTCGCATTTTAAGATCGACGTGCCAACATGTCCCGTCTTATACTTACTTATCAAAACCCATAGGTTAATATCCGCTGATGATCTGGCGTCTTCCGACCCTTCCACCTTTAAAGTTAGACCCATCATCAGTTGTGTAGACGGGCCTACGGATAGAATTGCTTGGTTTATAAATCTTATCCTCAACCAGTTGTTTAAGCACATATCAGCTGATCTCACGAACACCCAAATGTTTCTAGACCGTCTGCGCAACGCACGTCCCAAAACCGCGTACGTTATGGAGTCGTTCGACGTTACCGCTCTTTACACTAATGTGTCGAACGATTCCGCAATGCAAACCGTCCGCGAGCTTCTTGAACAACACAAAGGAGCAATTAACACGTACGGCTTTTCGATTCAGCAGCTTATGGTCCTCCTGAAGGTCTGTTTAAACTGCTCGATCTTCAGATGGTCCGAGAAATATCACGCACAAATTAGAGGGTTGGCAATGGGACAGCGACTGGCACCAACTCTTGTCGTTGCCTTCATGTCTAAAGTTGAAGCACCATTAATCGATCTCAGGCCATTACTCTACTGTAGTTATATAGATGATTGTTTTGTTATCTGCTCCACACAAGAAGAGATGGACAAGTGCTTTGAGTTGAGAAACCGAAAAAAAACTGGCTTCCATTTCTAAACGTTCAAATCAACCTATCCAAAAACGGCTGCATCACAAAATGGTATCGAAAGCCAAGCAGTAAGAATACAGTGGTTCATTACATCTCCTCTCATCCCTCACACACTTAAAAGGCGCATATAAGAAATATGTTTCGAGTTGCCAGCAGTGTGTGTACAGGTAGGGGGAAGAATCCTCGAAATTGGTGCACTAAATAGCCATTTCAAATGGTTACGAAACTGTAGCTTCTCGGTATAGGCAAAGAGGAAAAACCACGCCACGGAGCGATAATTCTAGCGAAAACAAGGCTCCGTTCTTTTTGCCCTTTATTTCAAACGAAATAAGCGCAGCTATAAAACGTTGCTTAATAAGGGCCGGAATTCCGTAAGAGTGATAGAAATACCATCGGATACTCTAAGACGCCAGCTAGTTCACAACCGCCTATATGAACGTCTGTGTACAACGAAAAACTGCGTAATTTGCCCTAACGGTAAAGACGATGATTGCATGAGTTGGGGTACAGTCTTTCTGATCTCTTGTAAATTGTGCAGGGACGAATACGTTGGCGAAACGGCTAGACCGCTCTGCGTCCGCATAAAAGAGCACCTAGTCGGTAAACCTAAATTAAAACCAAACACTCCACTAGGCGGGCATAGGATGCAGGAACACAACGGAGATTTTGAAGTTGGAGTCACTCTCCTCACACAAGAATCGAAAATATCAGCGCGTAAAACTCTTGAAGCGTTTCGGATCAATTCCAAAAATTCAAAGATAATCCGCAAGTAGAAGTGTCTTGTCATCACGCGTGACCTGGCGCCATACCTTAGGCTAATCCAATGACCTGACACAGGCACAGCGCTCGCCCACGTTTTACTCTGTGCAGCTGCTATCCACCAACTGACTGAAATACTTGCAACGAATAAACGGTAGGTGTTTAAATAAAGCTGTTTCTTATGCGAATACAAATTTATTTGTTAAGTTTTATCTGCTAGGGTTATGAAAGTGTTTCGCTGAGTAGGTCGCATCTCAATTTGACCTTTCCAGGCTTTGAAGAAGGCGAAACCGCCGAAACATCAGCTATTGTATCCTAGAAATATCCTAGTAAATCCTACAATAACAACCTCGTGTCTGCTTATTGAAGAAAAACATCGGATTATCAATCAATGCCGAGGTTAAAAGAAAGTCGGTCTTGGGAACACTTTAGAAAACCTGTCTGTGAGCACATCAGTACAGTACATCAGTGCGCCACCGCGAGTTATTGTATGGGCCAAATATGTTCACTTCTAACGACGCGAGATGAATTTGAAGGCATGGCGAACTCTTCAGGGATTGATCAACATCAAAAACTTTATTCTTCATTCCTTTAGAATGACCTTTCCAACGTAATTTTTGCAAAATCAGTTGAATAATTTCGGATTAAGAGTTGAGACGACGAGATTTCCAAAGGTACACTGGAAGGATATTCATGAATTACGATATTAACATTCAACATGTATCGGAACCTTCAAGTATAACCACACGACAGACATCACGGTACCTTCCTCATCAGCTCTTATTCTATCAATACAGAAAAAGAACCGCTACGGGATCCATGGAAACAGGCTCGCCCTAGTAACTTTTTCATTGTAGATTTGTTTGTTTTCATGCATAGAAAAAAACTCCACTCAAACTACGCTATGTATTACGTCGATAACTTCCTTTCCACTGAGGTGCTTAAATCAGCAGAAAGAAAGTCATCGACATAATGAAAGAAGTTTGCCGGGAAAAAGTTTCTTTGCCAACAGAGACTGCTGAAAGGAAAATATATTACACGGATGTGTTAGCAAAATTACAAGCCAAATATGAAATTGCTAATACCAGATACCAAAAGTGTGATTGCTACAGGCGTTCTGCGGAAAACTGAAGAATAAATCACAAAGAATGCTTTATATCACGACCTTTCACATGGATTGTGATACTTTCCTCACCCGCCTAATATAAATGTCAAAATTAGTTTGCTATTGATCAAAAAACATATGTAGGCAAATGACCGCGGCGATATAGTTAGAGGAAAACAAGTTGGAACAAAGACAATCCCTTCACTACATCTGAACTGTAATCTCAACCTCTCAACCTCTTCCCCAACAAAACAAAATTCAAATAATAACTGTTTCATCACGTAAGTAAATAAAGTGCGGTTAACGTCATGTGAAAATATTTCTAGGACAACTGGTTACTAACATCACCAAGGTATGATGGAAAAAAGGCTGTGCATCCGTTGAAGTTATTCACGAAAACATGCTTGGGAAAAATTTAATGTACTACTGGTGTGCCGATTGCATATTTGATTTCCCTTTCCTTCTGTAAAGTTACTGCAAAAAAAAACTTACGTTTAAAGTTGTATTTGGCTACAAAGGATTTCACCATATCTAAAACTTCTGCAGTATTGAACAACTCGGAAATCCCGTCGCAGGTAAGCAATAAGAGATAATGCGAAGTGTCTCTCTCAATCACCAAGGTATCTGCTCTAGAACTAATCATAGGCCGCCCACCAATATCACCTAAAATTTGCTTCTCATTATCTTTTTTGCTTAAAAAATAACAACTAATGTACGTGACAATGCGAAAACCAAACATATTGAAGCCTATGAACAGTACATTACATTAGACATTGACACATGTCTTACCAAGAGCTCTTGTTAGGTTCAAAACTCCATTAACACGAAGCTCTCCCTGAATGTAAAGTAACTGTCCACCATCCTGTTCAACACGGCGTGCTTCTTCCTAAATTACTTTACAGAGTAGCAAGTCAAAGCATTTGAAGAATCAATTCCCAATCTCTATGGTGGAAAAAAGTGGAATTAATAACAAAGAGATTCCATATAAACTTCCTTCGATCTAAAACGCTGATCAACAAACCCTACCATTCCCAAAGGCAAAACACCACTAACAATCCTTTCCACAGATGTTCGAGCTGCAATTCGAAGCTCGAGACCTGGCAGAACTCTTGGAAAACAATATTTCAGCCGATCTTCTAAGTTGTTGGTAACTACCGCCTGGGTTTTTCTTGAGAAAATTATGCATGATGTTACATCTTTAAATGGAAAAATACCCAATCAGTAAACATCTTCGCAGATCACCCTTTTGCGAGAACAGTTGGTATAACTTAAGTAACTATCATTCGATTACGTTTGACTATGTTAAATAAGTTTTTTCAAAAATTATCTCAATGCGTACACGGAAAAAATTGAATGGAGTTCAATTCGTGTAATACTTTGGACATTGTAAGGATTCCACCCATAGCTGTGTGGAACACTTACAAACTTTCGAGAGTGTCCTAATTCATCCTAAGCTTTTTTCACTACGAGGAAGCGTTTAACAATGTAGAAAACAACACCATAGCGCTTCCCTTACTGAATAAGCTATAGATGCGTTCAGCATAAAACACTGACTGCAACAGTCATTATACAGCGACAACTCAGTTCTTTCATCGTCACTCTTCAATTTCAATTTGTAAAGGAAACACAGAGAAAACCAGATCGAAACAATATGGTCAAAGCTATTCACCGGTGGGCTACAGTAGAATATGCCATTACTTGACTGGAACAACGAAAGGAAGCTAGAGAAAAGGTTACTGAGCTCAAAAAGGCAAAGGAAAAATTAGAGTACGAATCAATCCGAAAAAAAACCTAATTCGTGGAAGACACCTAGTGTAGAAAATAACACGCCATTCTGGACGAATTATTAGTTGGGAGTACATTCTACGCATACCTGAGCTGTCCAACGAATACGAAACGAATAACGACTTAACAAAAAAACTCGTTGAAAGAGCTGGGCTTCCCTGAAGAATACATCGGACTCTTTCTCGGCATGGGAGATCCTACCAAAGCGATGAATCCTCCCGATGTACATCACAGCCCGATACCTAGGAACACCTCCCAGCCACGATGAAGCGGTAAACCGTTGGGAACCTGTTTATTAACCGAACGAAACCTGAGACTTAATCGAAAAACGTGCAAGACTTTGAACAAAATATTTTGGTAATCGGATGAGAGATATGAATTGTGAACCTACAAACCTACATATTTTGCCCTTTTTTTATCTTAACTGATCTAACTCCACACCAACTGTGCCGATCCCATCACTTCTTGCATTCGGTTCGTTTCTTCCTCTTTCTGTCAACCACGAACGTCTTCGAACATTTCACATGTGGGTCCCGCTCTTCCTCAAAGAGCAATACGGACTACGCCTGAGCCTCTGAAAAAGACCTCTAATCGGTTTGGTGATTCCTGATCTACTTGCTCACTTAATTGACGCAATGCTTCCATTCCTTTGTTGCATAGCCAAAATGTAGACTGATACATCAGCCACGTCCCAGGAGTTGTGCACACTACTCAAAGCAGTAAAGTGGAGTCTTATGAAGATAAACTCGCACATGTAGTCTAGATATTCGAAGGACAACCCATTTTCGAAACTCAGCAAACAACTTGTCGAGAAATACACATCAAAGAGCCGGTAATATAAAGAAAGAAAATTAGAAAAAAGAAACAATAGAGTGGATTTCGAGCGACGATGTGTTCGTTGCAAACGTAAAATAGCTATATCCACAAAAGGTGTCAACTTTCAGATTCTCAAGTTATAGCCGAATATGTATCTAAATGAGCAAACAAGAAAAACCAATGATGACCAAAATAAGAAACATGCATGAAAAAAGGAGTTGCACACGGAAAGCAAATTATTAACATTACGCACCTCATTCGATGGCACATGAGCCCTCGTAACTTTCCGAAGATTGTCAGGAGATGTAAGCACATAAGCTGCAGAATCTCCTATCCACGCAATTACAATACTTTTCTCATCTATTGCAGCAGCAACAGCAGTGGTTCCACTTCGCCATCGCTCGTTTTCGCACCGTGCGAACAAACGAATGTCTGAAACATCCCGAATGTGGATAATTAAGTGCAACAAAAACTCTTTTAACAAACCATGCTGACTCCGTTTTTCGATCTGCCGAACATTACAGTAACACTTCTAGTTAGGCAGAGATAAAAAGAACTCTACTACTATACATCATGATATCAGGAATAAAATAAAGAATAACTTTTCCAAATAATGGACTATAGTAATTTTCAAGGGCGGGTGCGAGGCAATGGTCTAAAGCGCTATGCAACACATGGGATCGATCCCCTCGTCCATGGCCCACTAAGCCTTCCATCCCCCCGGAATCGGCAAATTGGTACCAGACTTCTCTGGGAGGATAACGATACTGGTTTAATATACCGGCCACCGCAAGCCACTGTAAAGGCCAGAAATACATTCATTTACCTCCAGACGATGTTCAGTGAAGTCAAATGCTCGTGCATCCCTCAGAGATTGACCAACTCCGAGAGCATCGTCCACAGTCTAATCTTCATCCCAATCTTCTGCGCCGTATGAAACCAACACTGACACATGTGATGAGCAGTTTGTGCAGTTTAACTAGCATTTTTCGGAACTAATTCGCTCAAAGAAGGCACATCCATACATCAGAAAAATGTATTATGAGTTCTCACCGCAACATACACAGCCGCCGTTTAACACCCATACACAACAGCTATTCTATCCAGAAAGGGAACAGAAAAGGTGTCCAAGAAATTGTAATCTTACGTGATCGACAATCACGTCTAGCAATTCTCATACTCTTCAGCGATTACCCCAAACGTTATAATTTTCAAAGTTTGATACAGCTCAACACTGAACAATAATATCAGCGATTAGTCATACGGCGTTCGGCGCCGACAGGAGCATTGTAATATCTACGAAATCACATCAGTTCTCACGAGCTTTGCATCAAAATACAACGAAACTAGCCGATAGGGCATCAGAACGGCTGCACTGATGAACATGATAGAACAATGATAGAAACTTACATGAAGCTGTAACGAAGGCAAGCAACGTTCTTCTACATAGACATTAAAACGTTGGATGCTAAGTAAGCTCAATACGAGTACAATCAACGTTTTCGAACGAACCATAGGAGTAAAAATACTAGGAAACGAAATATTAAGAAAGAATGAAATAAAATCCAAACAATAAAGACGATCTAAAATTGAAGATGTCAAAATAGAGTATTTCCATGTGTTGGATGCACACCAAAACAAACACCCACAGATTCCATTCTACCCATAAGAAAAAGAAAAACACATTGGTGATAAGAACAAGTTATGCCAAACAAATGCATCACTTATATAACTGGTGCAAGAATACAGTAGCAATAATTCTTTCTACGGTTCCGCAAAACTGGAAAAATCCCTAACACACGCCAAAACCACTAGGACGACCAGAAAAGAACAACTGCATGCTTGCTTTCTCCACATATTCCTTATGGTGGCGCACTGGTGGTGATGCTGACCATCACGAGCACACTGCTCGCTCGACTTCACTCACGGCTTTCCAAACCTGCCATCACTCTGGAGCGGGAAACTGGTAACAGTTTTGCCTGGGTAAAATTCACTGCCTAAGATCCAGGAGACGCTCTAACCCGATTATAACAGGGATCCAGGGAAAATCGTTTCGACCGGCACCCAACTACATCCATGATGAAAGGAAATTCCTCGAGCTGCAGCCGAATCCACACGCAAAAAGTTGGAGGAACATCGTAGACAATTGTTGCGAAAAAAAAACATCAAACGCAAAAAGTGCTAGGATTCGCACAGAAGACGCGAAAGACATGTGTAAAAAAAAGTATTTAGCTCATAAAAAAGTTATATAGCTCATTCTGAAACAATCTACAATGCAACCAACCGAGTCGCTCAAATGCACAACTTAATGCTTTCTCTAAAGACGTTGGATCGGCATTCAACGCTCGAACGAATTCCGCCGGTAGATGTGCGCAGCAGTAAGCAGAACATTCAGCACCTCCATGACCATCGAACACAGCCATAAGACCAACATCGGACTGGAAATGGTAAGCTATGCCTAACGATATATGTCGCAACTAGGTTGAAAGCAAGCAATGACAACTTCATGTAAAATACTTTTTAATGAAACTAAATGAACGAAACTGTACGAAACATGAATAAAAAACTTACCCTAGAAACCTCAGGAAAAACAAGACTGAGTGTTGGCATAGCGAGCATTCGATCTTCCTGCTTTTGACGACGACCTTTCTCCGATTCACACGATATGGGAAACTGCTCCCATTCTGCAGGACGAACTAAACATCAAGAAAATGCACTTAAAAGAGTATTTCGAAGTAACAAAACAAAGCGATAGGCTAGACAAAGCTCACCTCGCAGGTTTTCTTCACCACTGAGGATTCTTTTCGCAAACGCATGCATACTAGTAATAATCTGTCGACACCATGTACCACCATCTGATTGATGGTATTCACCTTGAACGCATAACTATTGAAGAAAACACAATGGAAAATTTGGATCCTCAGATACAATCATACAATCACAAAGTGTCTGTTTGAACAGAGGTGTTGAACAGAGGTGTTAAACAGAACAAACTACCTTCCACGTAGTCCTGTCTGTATGCTGTTAACTGGTCAGCATGCACCTGCACAAATGCGTCAGCAAACGTATAAGCCAGCCACATAGGAGACAATCTAGGAACGGAAACTTCGGTTCCAGCAAAGTAGACAACATGGGAAAATTACAGAACAGATACTCAGTGGACTAAAAATGCTCATATGCCTAGATGTATAGAAAAAGAAGGATAAAGCTCTTGACGTTGATCGATCCCTGAGGAATGCGCCATGTATTCGACTTACTACTCATCGCTGGAGCTTATCGAATGCATATCTAGCCTTCATAACGAGTTGCGGTGGTCTACCTGGAGCCAGTGCTGCAATCCTCCCAGACATGCCTGGTACCAATTTGAAGACCCTGAAGTGATGGAGGGCTTGGCCAGCCCTGGACGCGGAGGGTCATCGCATGTGTACTGCAGGGCGCCGCCGACCACTGCGCTACGCGCGCCTTTATACCCAGACTAAACGGCAACAAAACCTCAAGTTAAGTAACAATGACCTTAAAAGGACAAACCTATTCAGCATACTTTCGACAACGACATTAAAGGCATCAAAATATGCGTCATGTTTAATAACACGTATGAACGGTGCCCGATATCTCAGAACTGCTCCATCGGCAACTGCAAACTGTTTAGTGGGATGTTGTAGAGCTTTAAACAGTACCAAAAGCTTAGAATCGTAGCTCAAGAATAAAGTGGAAATCATGTCAAGTAAGAAAAAGGTCTTTTTAAAAGGACCTTCAAACTAGAACTTATAGACGAAACGAGCCTTCGTCACAATATAGTGATACCTGCTTCATCATCGCCCGCGAAGCCTTCCGTCAAATGCTGAAAGACAGACTTTCCTGTCTCATCTTTCCACTGTTTTACATCGATGAAAGTCCTGTTCTTTTCATCTAATCCATTAATAACGTCTTCAGAAGCCATATCTGAAGCACGGCATACATCACTTCACAAAGAAAACGTTAACTTCTGACAAGGACAGCGACAAATCAGAAAGAGAGCCAAACATCTCGTAAACTTCCGCACGATCTAGAGGAGAAAAAAGTGAGACCCCTGGCCACTTATCGCAGCCAGGAGAACAGATGACGAGTGTACAAGTGACAACTGATTCCGCCTGCGATTCACATTGACGTGACGTATTATGACTGTAACTTGGATTCTTTTAAGTAAATATACTTTCCTATGTGATGTTTTACGTCCAGATCGCTTTTGTCCAAGATATTAGTACATACCTTCCACAAAAACCGTACAGGAAGCAAAGTTCAACATTGTTTCCAGTACTAGTCCTGCAAGAACGCCGTTCAGGAAGTTTTCCAAACAGTTTCAAATCGACATATATGCTTTTGGCCAGCATCACTTGTAGATGATTGGCTGCGTAGGAGAAGACCAAAGTTCGCACTAAAGTATTCATTTTATTTTCTAACGCATAATGTAACTAGTTGCCTTTTTCTGATGTACAGCGTAGCCATCACCCTGTGTATGTCATTGAAGGGCTATATTTAGTCCTATTCCTAACTTACTTCCATCTTTCCTGGTAGAGTTGGACGGAAACGCATTTTGCATAACCGATTACTGGTTCGGAGACGTTTTTCGTACAAAATGCTTGTGACGTAAACAGTTTGCTAGCATGAGTTCAGAAGATTTAATTCTGCTTCCAAGTTTCTGCCGCTGATGTGCTTAATTTATAATATTTCTTCTTGTTTAGTATGAAACATTGAAGTCATTGAATGTCAACGCAAAATAGTTCATAGTGATGTGTTAACTAGGTCGCGTATGGCACAGTGGTAGAAGGCGCCATCAGTGCACATGGGATCGGTCCCCGCGGTCCTAGCCTACCAAGCCCTCCATCCCTTCGGGGTCGGCAAATTGGTACCAGACTTGTCTGGGAGGATATCACCACTGGCTTGATACATTGGTAGGCCACCACGAGTCATTGTAAAAGCCAGACATGCATTCATTCACACTCCAAACGATGCTTAATGAAGTCGAATGCATCGCGGATCCCTAAGGGATTGATCGACGCCGAGCTTTATTGTTTTAGGTTTGTATAGAAAAACATAAGTCCACAAGCAGTATATTGCTTCTTGTCAAAGGTCTAGTTCTCGTAAGGCCCTATCATATTCGAACACTCATCGTGGACGTCATGATCGGTCACCATCGTCACCATCGTCATCATCATCATCTCATCATCAAGAGATCCAGTTTCTTTTTTTTTTGAATCTCATGCTAAGTTCATCATTCACCAGCATGACACTATTAGTCATTGAGCAGTAACATTATTAGCATACAAAACGATAAAGGAATAGGTTCATTACAACATAAAAAAAACAACTGCATCATCCACATCAACATCGAAGCGGATGAGACGCAGATAGAAAAAATAAGAAGAAGAGAGCTATGGAAAAGCGAAACAACAATAATTACCGCAAAAGAAAGGATTCCTCACGAAGAAGTGGATACACCGATACACACGTAAAGCAATGAAGGAAGACCTCTATAGGTGTTCATGCTTCCAATTCCACAAATTCTATACCTCATATGGTTTCTGGTTCGATTCAGCAGGCATATGCAGAAGATCGCTACAACATTTGTCTGGGAGGATAGGAACGCTGACTTGATATATATTCTTTCCCTGATGAGCTTATACGAGGTTGCTAAATACGTTTATTTTCGGCTAACTTTTCGACGTATTCGTCATCATCAGAGCCGATGACCCGAGTCAATGGCCCACGCTTGTTACTCGTCTTGATGTGGCGGCTTCGCCTTCGTGTCGAGTCAGGTCTCCTTCAGCGAACAATCTCGTCGAATGATGCATACTCACCTGGTGATGGCCTTTTATGCAGGATGCTGTTGGTGGATGTAATGATAATGTCCGGTGATAACAACTTTTTTTTCTTCCGGATATTCCAACTAGTACATCTTCAAAGCCGTATAGCCGAAAAGGTAAATACATGACGCTAACCTCGTGTAAGCTCATCAAAGAAGGAATGTATATTGATTAGTCACACCGTGGTTAAAGGAAAGTTGGTTTCGAAACATTACTGACTTAATACACCGAAAACCCACTTAAAGTTATTGTAGGGACTAAATATTTCTTCAAACGCTTCTACTTAATACTTAATGACAGCAAATACATATATGCCCGCTCTGCACACTGACCACTCTCGTTATTTCCGCTTTATAACTCGGTTTCCGCGCGTTTGTGCTCATTTCTGTTTCTTTTCTGGTTGTTTTATGTGTTTTCTATACCCTTGTGTTTATGATTTCCTTGCAACGGTTTACCGCCTCATCGTGGCTGGGTGTTCCTGGGTGTCAGACTGGATGTACAGTGCGGAATTCATGCCCTGGTAGAGTCTCCCAAGCTGAGAAGGATCCGGCGTTTTCACCAGGAAGTGCCTGTGGTGGCGAAGACCTGGGGCAGACTTTGGCCAGGCTGACCTAGGGATTCCACGGAACAAAAATGGCTTAACCAGCAAATCTCCGAAAAATGGTGATTTTTCTGGGGCTCGCACAAGCATTGAAGACGGGCCGTTCAAGTGTTAAGTAAGTAAGTATCTATAGCAATTGAGGCGAGTTGACATGATTTCACTGATATTAAAGTTCGCGCCCGATTCCGTGCCCGCTTTTTCGACGAGTCTTCCTGCCTTAATGCATGCGTCAGAAACCTCGTCGCTATGTAAGCAGAATAGAAGATCACTCAGTGTTATTGAACGGTCAAAAGGATGATGCTAAGGATATACCCGTGTCACACAAGCAAGTGAAGGAATCCGAAGCTACGTCGTTCCGTACGGTAAGTCGAGGATAAGGTGGGCCATCCACGTAGTGCACATGAACGAAAACAGATCGACAGGTGCCGTTACTGACTAAATTCTTCGGACGAGAAGACGGCATGGGTACTACTACCCATGTTCAGTGTAATCGGTTCTAAAGTTTTCCCTTTACCGCACTACGTATATTTATTCGATAGCTAATTGAAAAGGCTTCGAAATACAAGAGTGGAAGCAAGAACGGCGATCTCTTTACTTGATAAAATAAGTTACGAAAAACGCCTTATCCACTTTGCAATCACAAGTTCTAATATACGACACTTGGAAAAGCACACTGTGTGTAAAGAAATGAGCCATCAAGAGGCCTTTTTGCATATTATTTGGTAACAAATAAATAGTTGCCAACAAATTTAAAAATAGGTTCTAGGAGGTCCGGGACATCAGCAAAGTAGTTGGTCACCAATGTGATTTGCCGCGTTACACGTTTGGAAACACTTCTCACTCCTCGTCCTCATAATTTGTCACTGTCGTTTTTGAAAACAGTGCTAAAAAGAACTTATGTTACCATTTAAAACCGTGGATCGGCGGGTTTGGTTGGGATCAGCGTGAGCGAGGTTGAATCAAAGAGTGTACTATTTGTGTGGGAAGAAACCTTATACTTTTCTATCAAAACTAGGTGTTCCTTGGGTTAAGTAAACACTGCATCGTCCACTCGTCCACTTCATCTGTGAAATGGACAGGTAATATTAACCCATAGCCCAGCTAAGAGTGAACCAGTACCAGGATCCACCGCCACCGTCCTGCTATCAAAATAATTGTATGGTGGCAAATCTCCCTCTGATCCACAAGGGTGCGACAGCCTGTAATGATGACCTGGGCAGAGTGATCTGGCTGACCTCGAGACTCGAGAGAACCATAATGGGTATGCCATAAACGAAAAAGTGGAAATTATACTGAGACCAGTATTAAACGGTGAAGATGGCCCATCCAAGTTCCCAAGTAGTACTAAAATGTCCGCTTGTTTGCCGTAGTGACCCGTCCTGGAATGATTTAAGGAACTTGCTCCATTATCTCGTAACCACAGAAGTGGTTTGCTGCAGAAAGTTGGCTTTAATTACAAGAAGTGTTCTATCATCAATGACATATCGAAAGAACTCCTTATCGAACGTGTTCGCTTTAGTCACGAGGTACATACTATAGCGTTCCCAGGTGACCATCACAGATAGTAGCCGACTTCTTGGAATAGGTTCCCTTTCGGAAAACCACTGGACTTATTAAAGCATTAGCCATTGCATGCATTATCTAATCCACCAGAACTTGATAGAAGGCTGAGTGAAGGTTTACTGTAGTCAGAGGAGTATAAAAACATTTATTTCATAAACTAAAACAAAGACATCGTCGCTTCTTGCATGTAACCAACACTATGACAATGAACAGTCCAAAAACAAAAGTAGCTATAGTACTTGTATGGAGGAGTCGTCGTCTTCGGTGCGCACAGAAAAGATTAGGTGACTATGTGGTGACACAAACTATGGAAAAAAGATTCGTGAGAAGTGTTGAAAGAAAATATTTAAGGATTTACTATTTCCCTTGACAGCAACACGTTACATCGTCCCCTGGCGTCTCCATCTTCCTCATAACATTCTACATACTAGTTGATAGATACCCTGGAAGCTCTTATAAGGCAAAGTATTCTGCTTTATAACAAAGTTGCAGGTCTTTAAAATAAGCAAGAAACATTACCATCTAGCAGTAACTGCCACGACCGACTTTCTATTAACCTCGGCATTGATCAAGTGATTTTCTTCGTATTTTTGTTGAGCAAACGCGAGGTGTTACTATTCTTTGTTCACGATTAAGCTGACGTTTCGGCGAATTTCGCCTTCTTCAGAGCCTGGAAAGGTCAAGTTGATAGCAACTCACTCGGCCAGACGCCTCCATAACTAAACAAAGAAACCCCAAACCAAGATTTCAATCACTTTGAACACAGCTTTGCACACTCACCGCTTTCTATGAGGTTTCCACTAAGTATGTCACGTAGAGACCAACCGCACAGAGATCACGTGGAAGTATAATGTGCCCCTCACATCAGAAAAGCAGTTTTATATACTGCCCTATCTCACGCGTGATAATGAGGCATTCTTCCCTGCGGTTCAT